TTTGGGGAAAGAGCCGCTTCTAGAAACTGCTGTTAAGGGATTGGAATAGTGATTGTACCCATTTAGCTCGTAGACCCCTCTGTTGGTGGAGGTTACTTATAAGTCTGATGCTTCTTATCATAATTCCCGCTAGGTTAGCTGTAAGAAGATCATGGAGAATTCAGTGGCTTTGAAGGACAATTTTAGCTAAGGAATTTAAAGATTCTTGTTGAGGGGGCCAGGGAGATAGCTCAGTAGAATAAGTGCTTGCCTGGCAAGCGCAAGGGCCTGAGTTCAATCCCCAGTTCCACCAAAAAAAAACAAAAAAAAAAGAATTTGGGATCTATTTTGGAGGCACAGCCTATAGGACTGCTGATCAATGGGTGTGTGTATGAATGAGGCTCAAGTTATTAATAGGATCCAGGCACTTTAGGAGCCTAACAAAGCAAATAGCAATCAAAAGCAATCTTAGTGTGTTTTCAGATCAGTATGTTACAGAGTGATTAACATGGAGGACAGTGGCATGTGATGTTAGGAGATAGGAGGGTGCCCTCACCCTGTCATGGAGTTACATCCTGATGTGCTAATCATAAGTGAAAAATATTGGAAATGGAAAATGCATTTCACACATAGAACCTACTGCACATCATAGCTTAGCGATGCAGTGCAGAGTATGTTGACCCTATGGCTGAATGGGAGTTGCAGCTCACCACCCTACCCTAGCATCACAAGAGAGTATCCCACTGCCTAAAGCAAGGGAGATTCAAATTGTGTAATATGCTTTCTACTGAATGTATAGCAATTTCACATTATCATAAAGTCAAAAACCATTAAGTTCAACCATTTTAAGTTAGGGACTGTCTGCAATGACTTTTTTAAAAATAATTTTATTGAGAAACAGCAATGAGACAGTTTCAAAACCAATTACTAGCACAGTTTCAATAATTAATACATTCATATTGTTGTCTTCATGGTTGCAATGACTTTTAGGGTACTAAAAGTTATTTTAATTGTATGTTGTTGAAATTAGGAAGCCACCAGAAGAGAGAAACCTAGAAAACACCTCCAGAAGAAGAGGCATCCCAATACACACTAGCATATTAAACAATGTTTCATTTTACCAGGTTATTTTCATTCAGTTAATCAGTATTTAACTTCAAAATAAAAATATAAGCTAAAATATTTTTGGTAGCTACTTAGATTCTAAAGAACCAATAAACGAGAATACAAAAGGTTGATTTGTTGGATCTGTATTACAAATTTTCTTTAATAAATTCATAGCAATGACATGAAAATTGAAATGAGAAAACAAACAAGCAAGCAAAAGGAATCCTGCTAGCTAGAGTCTAAGCCAAGAGAAATATGACCATGTACAAGGAGGAGTAAAAGAATACAGGAGACTTTACCTTGGTCTTAACCATCCAGCAGAAAAGTATGAAGACGAAATTATAAGAAATAAAGCCATGCTGTTAAGTTGAGCTGTGGGGGACTCAGGTCAATAATTTCTGACATTGCCAGTTAAACAGAAGACCCAATGCTATTATGGGCTACTGGACTCTTTTAGAATATTTTGCTGAGTTTACACACCTATAATATTCAATAACGGAACTTAGAAAAAATGGGGTATACAGATGAATGTCCATTTTGTACCTGTGTATTCAAAGTGGTTGGGATAGATATATAGTTACATTCTGTTAATGAATAGAATGATTTGTTCTGATGGAGTTTGTAAATAGGATCACAAGTCCGCATCTTGTACAGCAATTAGCCACTAAGAAGAATATATGCAGTGTATTATTTGTTGAAAAATAAATAAATAAAAAGAATACAGGAGAGGCCCCAGAAATTCTGAGTCCACAGCTGTGCCAGTTGGAGTCCAGGCTCATTTCCTCCCA